AAAAAAAAAAAAAAATTAGAGGGGGCCGGGAGATAGCTCAGTAGAATAAACACTTGCCTGGCAAGCGCAAGGTCCTGCGTTCAATACTAGTTCCACAAAAACGAACAAACCAACCAACCAACAAACAAAACTTTTAGAGGAGAATTTTCCAGAAGCAGTTGAAGACACACATCTTCCATCTTAGCACACTGAGTTCTAAGCAGAACATGCAGGACCTAAGTGTACCCCTCACAACTCACAGGGGTACTCAGGAGACCAAAGACAGAGGGAAGCACAAAAAGCAGCCAGTGAGAGGACAGAACAGCAGGCCTGAGAATGGATCCAACCTTCAGCAGCCGTGGGAGCCTGAAGAAAACCTGAGCGCACAGCCCTGAGGAGACCAGCACCCGCCCCGAGCTCTCGCCACCACACCTCATTCAACAGGGTGAAATGCAGACAGAAGAAGCAGAAGCAGAAGCAGAGCAAGAAGAACAGGAAGAAGAGGAAGAGGAAGAAGACGAAGACGAAGCAGCAGCAGCAGCAGCAGCAGCAGCAGCAGGGGCTAAGGAGATGGCTCAGCAGAGTAAGTGCTTGCCTGGCAAGGGCAAGGTCCTGAGTTCAATCCCCAGTACAAAACAAAAAGGAGAACTGAAGGATACACTTTATTTGTTTATTTATTTGCAGAACTGGAGACTGAACTCAGGCCGTTTCTACAGAGCTATCTCCCCAGCCCCAAGGATATACTTTAGGCAGAAGTATATGAACCCAGCCAGAAGGGCTGGCTTTTGCTAAGTCAAGGGTCCACGCTAGAACTTTAATGTCACCACTGACACAGAGGACAAAATGTAGAATGAAAACAAAAAAACCTGGAAAACTTAATCCATGAAAAGGCTGGAAAGGAAAGAAAAAAAGGGGGGGGGGGGGGGGGCAGATGGCTCAGTGGAATAAGAGCTTCCCTGGCAAGCGCATGGGTCTGAGTTCAATCCCGGGTTCCGCCAAAAAAAAAAAGGAAAGTAAAATGACAACACACAAAATAAGACTAGGAAAAATGAAATATAAGGAGCCGGGGAGATGGCTCAGTGGAATAAGTGCTTCCCTGGCAAGCGCAAGGGCCTGAGTTCGATCCCCAATTCCACAAAAAAAAAAAAAAAAGAAAAGAAAATTGAAATATAACAATCCCAATAAATCTACAGGGACTAAGGCCAACAAGTAAAAGCCATAGATTTTAAGAGAAAAACCACATGTTTTGTAGGTGTGAAGAAACACTCCCTAAAAAGAAGGGCGCATAAGCCAACAGTAAAAGGTTAGAACAAAAGATATCAATTAAGGGCTGGTGAGATAGCTCAGTGGACTAAGCACCTGCTTAGACGAGTGCAGGGTCAGGAATTCAGTTTGATCCCCAGAACCACATGCCACCCTAGCCCCACCCCCGGGCACACTGAGCTGGCCACTGAGACTATAATCCCAGTGCCAGGGAGGCTGAAAACAGGAGGATCACTGAGTCTGAGCTGTGTAGTGAGACCCTGTAACAAATGCATTAAAAAGAAGCTATCAATTAAATGCTAATCAAAACCAGGTGTGGTGGCGCATACCTGAGATCCCAGCACTCAGGAGGCTGAGGCAGGAGGATCACTGTGGGACCAGCCTGGGCATGCATTCAAGGCCAGTCTGAACTACATAGCAAAAACCCTGTCTCAAAGAGGGGGGAAAAGTGCTAATCAAAAGGAAACTGGGATCCATCAGGCATGGTGGAGCAGGCCTAGAACCCAGCACTGCGGAGGCTGAGGCAGGAGGAGGCCTTGAGTTTGACACCAACCTGGACTACACAGCACACGCTGTATCAGAGACAGAGAGGAGAAAACTGGTATAATTCTATTAATATCAAACGAAATACACAGTAAAGAGGCTACACAGTAACACAAAGAACAAGGTGCTGCGACCCCACACCCCTATACCTCTAGAGACAGAAAGCAAAAACTGATGCCTCCAAGGAAAACTTGACAAATCCACAACCCTAGAGGGAGCGTTTTGGTTTCTTGCGGTGTGGGGCTGAAACCCAAGCAGGCTTACCGTGTGCTGTCGAGCTCCGCCGCACCCCCCCCCCATACTTGCATAGTGCAATTGGAAAGCTCAATTTGATGGACTATATCCAAGACGAGAATGTATATTCTTTTCAGGGCAACAAAAAAAGAAATGAACAACCTACAAAGAAAAGCTCAGCAGGTGTCAGCCAGCCTAGACCAGGAAACAGTCCAAAAACCACAAGCCTAAAGCGGAATTTGTCCTGTTCTTATAAATAAAGCTTTACTGTGTATTTACAGCTGTTTTTATCTTACAACAGCAAAACTAGGTAACTGATCAAATCCTGAGATATTCTTTATCTGGCCACCGAAAGGAAAAAGACAGTGGACATCCAACAAACTGTAGTATCTGCCCACAAAGCCGCAGAACAGGAAGCTGGTATCATAAGGGTCATCTCGAGGGTCAGAAATGAATGACTGAATCACGCCACACTATTCACTGTTCGTTACCAAAAGAACAGAACCACCTCAAGGGAAGAGGGGCAGGAATTAATGAAATAAAATCCAAATAAGAGACAGAAAATGCCGAAGTGTGATCCTCAAAATGGCCTCAGTCAATCCTGGAAGAAACTAATCAAAGACAAAAGGGAGAATCACAAAGAACAGAAAAAGGACAAAGCAGCCCGGCAGGGCCTGTCTGCACATCGAGGCTTCCCAGCTCCTTCTGGAGGCGACACTGCGACAGCCCCACGCTGAGAGCTCAGAGCAGCCGCGACCTCACAGAAGCCAACATGAATGAGGTGCCCTTCCCCCAAAGTGACATCCTTGGGCCACAGGGCTGCGGGGCTCACCTGAAGGGTGGAGTGGTGAAGGGTAGAAGTCCACAGGGGTCCGGGTGGGCGGGATGCGGGGATCCATGTAGGACGGCATCATCATCCAGCGGGGGTCGAAGCCCAGCATCTGGGGGTGGTGCGGGTAGAAGGGGCGCTGCGGGTGGGAGGGCGGAGGGTACACTGGCTGCCAGTGCTGCATCTTGTACAGCTGCTCCTGGCCAGAGAGGGAGAAAAGGGTCACAGGGGTGTGCAGAGAGACGACACCCCCCACGCATGCGCGCACACACTCCAGTCTCCCCACTGGCGGCACAGAAAGCCCCAGTACAAAAGACAGAATCAAACAGCTGGCCGTGGGAGCCCCTGCTTGCCATGCCTTCCGGCAGGGGCCTCTCCTGAAGTGGAGGGATGGTCACACCATTCCACGACAGAAGCCCCACTCCTGAGCCCCCAAGACAGACCAGGCTTCCAACGTAGTCCTGACACCAGCCAGCTCCAGCCACTTCCTCTCCTGGCCTGTCACCACCTCCTGGGGACGGCCCCTCCCTCTCTTCTCCACCCCCACCCCCGTGGTCTCCAAGATTCTCAAGAGCCTGCGGAGCTCCTCCCTCCCGTCCGCCTAACACGTGGCTGCAGGCCACCTATACAGCCTGCAGACCTGCCCAGCCTGTGCTCTCTTGTACTGTGATTGTCCCCCTCCTGTGCTCCACAAAACCCATGGGCAAGCCTGGACTAGAACACACGCAGCCACAACGGCCCCTGCTCTGCACCCTTCTGCCTGGCTTGCCAGCTCAAGGCTTCTGCAGCAAGCCCAGCCCTGCCTCTGCTCCCAGAGGATCGCGCCTTCCTGTGACATGCTGGGACCACGCATGCCTGGTCCACTGTGGCCCAAGGTGTGCTGGGAGGAATAGAGGCACACAGGCATGAAGGCCCCTACCGAGCCGCGAGGAGCTCCCCACCTGCCTCCCTCGGCACGCCTGCACTCACATGCCGGCAGGACTCACGAGGCACGCTGGCCCCCAGCACACCCCTCAGAGCAGCTTTCAGGCTCCTCCCCCTCCCCCTCAGGCGACAGTCCTGGGCCGGATTCCCAGGTACTTGAGGGGCCCCAAGGCATGCCCCCACCCCTGCCCACAGAGGGTGGAGCAGTTCCTTCTCCCGTCTGGACCTGGGGTCTCTGGGGGCCCCGACAGGCCAGGCTGCCTGGGGCTTCCAGACACAGCCCTGCTCCTGAGGGTGCCCGCAAGAGCAGGGAAGAGCAGGCGCGGCTCCTGCAGAGCCTCCCCACCGGCAGTCCTAGCCCGCTCTCGGCCTGGCCAAGGGCTGACACAGCGCACACCTGCAAGTGCACCACGCACAGCCATGAGGTGTTTCCAGGAGCCCCCCATGCAGAGCTGGCAGGTTCTACCCTGGAAGGTCCATCCCTCAGGCACACACGTCTGGGGACATTTTCGGTTGATATTAATAGTTTGTTATAAACCAGCTGCTGGGCCTGCCACACGCGACACCTCTGAGCTGTTTCCAGTATGACTCATGATCCTTACTGCCCTGTGGCTCAGCCCCAAGGAAGCGCAGCGGCCACCTGTGCCCCAGCTAGCACACAGGGTCTTCATCCACTGAGGTGCCAACAACCAGCCCACAGGCGTGGCTGCACCAGAGGCCCCAGGACAGGACCACAGCTCTCAGAATCTGCTCGGTCATGTACTTCACCCGGAGCCCACAGGCCCCTCGTGGCTCCTAGGGGACCCACGTGCCCTGGGCTGCACAGGACGGGGAGAGGCCGTGTCACCCTAAAACAGGAAAGCTGCTCTTCAGGCTGGGCCAGACGAGTTCAGTGCAGGTGCCAGCCGCGCTCCCTTCTTGGGGCTGTGACACAAGATCAGCACAGCATAGGGCTGCAAGCTCTTGGAGTGACCTGCCCAGGTTACACAGTGTGGTGTGCCACCCCCGAGTCACTGGGAGGTGAGGGTGTTGAGCTGGGGGGTTGGCGAAGGACAGGAGAGCCCCGCGCATCACCTCTGCCCACTCACCTGCTGCTGCTGGCGCTGGAACCGAGGAGGAAGTGACTTCTGGTACTTGCTGAACTCCTGTGCAGGGGACCCGGCCTCCCTGGCCTCCTCCTCACTGCCGCTGCTCTGAGCCACCACCAGGGAGGTGGAGGGCCCCTCTTCTTGGAATGGGGTGGGGGTGTCCTGCGCAGGGAACTCTGGGGAGCCTGGGAATGAACAAGCAGAGAGGTGCGCTGCAGGCTCACGTGGCTCAGCCACTCTGGATGCAGCTCTCAGCGTGCTTCAGACAGCCCACGACACCTTGGGAGGCTTCTCTGCTACACTTTACAAAGGACGCAAAGGAGCCTGCTTAAGGGGCATGTGGGCAGGGGGAATCATGCAGCAGAGCAGGATCTGTCACACACCTCCAAGTCAGGGAGCAGCTGTGACTTCAACCGCAGCCCACAGCCACCTCAACGCATCACAGCCTCTGGGAATGGCTCAGTCTCTGCCTGACTGCTTTGTCTATTGTTTTATTTTAGACAGGGTCTCGCTATGTAGACCAAACTGGCCTTGAAGTCTTGGCAATCCTCCTGCCTCAGCCTCCTGAGTGCTGAACTACAGGCCTTACACAGCACCACAACCAGCTCCCGCTGTCCTCAAGGACACTCCAGAGCCCATGCCACAGGTTTTGTGATGTTTGTGTTTTGGTCTTTTTGAGACAAGGTTTCACTGTGTAGCCCAGGCTGGCCTCAAACTCACAGAGAGGCTGGGGAGATAGCTCAGTAGAATAAACACTTACCTGGCAAGCTCAAGGGCCTGAGTTCAATCCCCAGTTCCGCAAAAAACAAAAACAAAAAAAAAAAAAAACCCTCACAGAGATCCTTCTGCCTCAGCCTCCAGAGTACCAAGATGATAGGTGTGCACCACCGTGCTCCTCTCCAAAGAGAATGGGCTTCGGGAAAAGCTCAATGAAATTTCTCCACAGCCCATGCCACTGAGCACAGGGAGCCTGGCCTCGATGCCAACACGGGTGATTCCTGGAGTCCTGGCCAGAAGGGAGGCTCTGCTTCGGGGCTGAGAGTTGGACTCTAACTGAGGAGACTTCAGGGAGGGACCGAGCCTGGGCCCAGGTCTCCTAATGAGCGGCCGAAAGCCGTGCAGGGCGTGCGCTGACTGCACTCCTGGGTGTCCCTGGCCCAGGGGTGCGGCACAGTGCTGCTCTGCGCCTCCTCCACAGCCTCAGAGCCTGCTCCCGTGGGAGCGACCACCAGGAAAGACACATTCAGCAGGCACACGGGGCCCTCCATCCGAGTGTCGTCCCCTGGCACCTGCGTCTCAGTGGAGCACGTCCCCAGCAAGTACCTGCCTGAGCCCACAGGCTGAGTGAGCTGCGCACACAGCTCGCCATTACCTCCAGGGCTGGAGGGGCTCGCGGGGCAGGGCTGCAGCAGTGAGGCTAAGAAAAGGAGACAGGCATGCTGACGCACTCCTGTCAGCAGCTCCGGGGAGCCGGAGGCAGGAGGACTGCCATGAGTTCTACACCAGCCTGGGCTACTCTACAGTGACTTTAGGGCCAACTTGGGTTACACAGGGAGACCAAAGACACAAAAACCAGAACGCTGAAATGGCAAGACAGCCCCATCCACACGACACTTGCCAATATATCCTCATCTTAGCCACAGACTCCACTAAGAAGTCAGGGTGACAAATTCCCAAGACGGAGGCGGGCAGCCCCAGGGCCGTCCTCTCACCTTTACGGCTGGCAGGCCCATTCTCCTGTGGGGCGGCCTTCTCTGGCACCGGCACGGGCACCGGCACGGGCACGGGGGACCGGGGCGCTTCCTTCTCCGCCTGCCTCTGGGCCTCGCTGGCCTTCTGGGCCTGCTTGCACTTTTGGTCCAGCAGCTTCAGCTTGGCCGCGCAGGCCGCCAGCCTCTCCTCACGGGCCCGGCGCTCCTCCTCCTCCCGCCGCTTGCGGGCCCGCTCCACAGCCTCGGACATCTCCGACTGGATGAACTTCTGCCGCGGGGGTGGCTTGTCCTCCTTATCCTCGGCCGACTGCTGCCGGAGCATGCCGCCCACGGAGGGCCTCTGCGAGGACCAAGGCTGGTGAGAGGCGGGTCCAGAGCCGGGCACAGGGGCCTGGTCCTCTGCGGGGTCAGCTTCCCTTATCACAGAACTCACCCTCCCACGACAACTCAAGGCCCCAAGAAAACAAATTCACGGCCACACAGCTTCACGTTGGTCTACACAAAAATGAAAAACTGCCAAGCACAGTGGCGCACACTCGGGAGGCTGAGGCTGGAGGATCACTCTATGTTCCAGGCCAGCCTGAGCTACATAACAAGTCCCTGTCTCCAAGGAAAAAATAAAGGTCATGTCTAGAAATATACTTTTTTTGTATCTTATCTATTCAAGTCTCTTGCGGGTTGCCAGCTACAAACCAAGCAGGGTACCAAAGCAGAGTGCAAAGAGCACAGGCGACCCTCACTGCTGCCGCTCTGACCTGAGC